TACAGACGAACTGCACTAAAAAAAATCAGCTTTTTGAAGGGTTTTACAAGTTAGCTAGCCTTTATCACCCAAGTCATCCAATTATTACTATCATGAAAGAAATTAACTGAATAGTTATAGGACTTGCAAGATTTGATTACAAAGGAACTCACAAATATGTAAACACACTGAGAAGTCATCCAATTATTACTATCATGAAAGAAATTAACTAAATTGCTATAGAACTGGTAAGATTTTATTGCAAAGGAACTCACTAATATGTACACACACTGACGTTTAACATGGTTATGAGTTTATGGCTCCTTAGTTTGCCTTACTAATGAATGAAACCAAAAAAACATTTTAAATAAAGAGGTAAGTTGATAGGCACCTTTCCAAGTGGCTTCATGCGTAAAAGGCCTAGCCCATAAGTTATGCAAACTATAGGATCCCAAGAAACTTAGATCTTAACATGTGGGCCAATAATAGAGCCACGATAGAAAAACTATTAAATACAAATTTCACATTTCTCATATAGATGGTGAGCTATTAGTAATAAGATTCTTTAATATAGATCTTTAAAAATAGTTACCATCAATTTTGAATAGTTTTGGAGATGAATTGATGATTTCCTTGAACATTTCTAATGGCCTTTACAGGTTATTAGTATATTGGGGTTTAATCTGTCAGATGATCAAACACTTCTTATAAGGATCAGGGATAAAGAACTACAGAATTTCATTGGAAAGTTTCTAGTTATTGACTTTACAATATCTTTAATAATGCTTTTACTATTGAACTCTTTGCACATATGCAAACTTCAACAACTCTTGCAGGCTGAAAATTTGTATGTATACCTATATACATTCCTCCAACCTCAATTGGCCTTTCAAGGATTTGAAGTTTCTTCCCAAGGATTGGAAGCTCATCCTATAAATGCTAAGGCAATTAATGATTGACTTCGGCCACTACTTTCTAAATGTATAATTTTTTTAAGAACCAGCAGCCTTCTAGGTTAGTTCCATCACTACACCTCTCACAGACAAATGTATTTGGCGAGGCAATTGACCTCGTCAAGGTTAACATGACAGAAGCTGTGTTCCGCTAACTCTTAATTTTGACTATGTTTTTTAGGTTGTTTATAATGCCTTGGAAGTAGACACAAGTCATATCCTAAATCATGAAGGATATCTTATAACTTCAGCAACTAAATGAACAAAGCATGCAGAGACCCTCTTCTTATTACAAAGAGTCTTGTAATATCATTTATACTCTTAATACTCTTAACTATAATAGCAGCTATTAAGATAAGAATTTATACGCAGCTCTCCTCAGTTTGTTGGTTAAGAGTTTGGCTCTCAATTAAGAAGTCCTAGGTTCGAATCTAGTGTATGTATTGTGGGTGTGTTTGAATGCTGCCCCTAATCCCCCCTATTCATGCAGTAATGACCACGAAGATGGAGAAACAACCAAAATGCTGATCATGAAATATGGCCCCTCTCAAATTTCCATTAAATTGTCGCCAAGAAAATAAAGCATCCAAATCGTCATTGCAAGTGCAGAACCACTATCATTATAAGTAATATAGTTCATGCTCCCATTACTCATTAGAGGCTATAAGATACCATGCTAGGGTGGTCATCACTAGAAACCTCATTTTCCTGCTGCATGCGGACCAGCAAGCAGCTATGTCGACAGCGCCTTTCATTTTCATCATTGTGCCTTCTACCATTGAGAGAGAGAGAATATCACTCCTCTGCCTCCAACAAGGCCCTTATTTGTTTCTCTCCTTGAATCAGCAACCTCACTCCCAAAAAAGGCAATAAACAAAAACTAGCATGCAGACTAACCTGTTAACTTCAACAAATTCAAGCAACTTGGATTGAGCTATTAGCGTCTAAGACCGAGGATGAATTGGGTCACCCAAGTGAATCATACAATAATATTAAATTTGAAAAATAAATATTTAATATTTGATTGAAGGTGGTTTAGAGAAATAATAAAATACTCAAATACTTTAGCAACATTAATTTAACAATAATAGCAAGTTTGATAATTCAACAATAATAGCAAGTTTGAACAAACTTTTGCAATTGTTGCTGGATAAAGTGATTCATTTTTGGAGTCTAGGTTAGATCACATGCCCCTTAAAAAAAGTAAATTGGATGAGATGTTCCTGAAACAAGAACAAATCCAATGTAAGAAAATGAATAGTTGCTGGAACTACTTGCACCACTTCCCAAAATGAGCCTATTAGATTTGAATCAGCCAGGTAAACAAAGAACTTAGTTAAAGGGAAATAACAAAGACCTGGTTAGATCTAATTCAAGCTTAGGTAAACATAAATCAAATCAATTAATCTAATTCGGTCACAGTTACCCTCAATCACATCACTTGAACAAAATAGCCTGATCTACCCTTAATTAACTCCAAGTCAAATCAACATAAACTATTATGACTGTCATAGTTCACTCCTGATCCCAAAGGACATAAGACAAATATTGACATTCATTTAAGAACAACATTAAAATCAAGTTAAGGCACCAAAATTTTAGAACAGAGCCAAGAGATGGCAAAGGATAGGAAATGGGCAAAAATGATAAACAAAATTGGATGAAGTTGATTGCATCGATTCCTTTAAGCACCACACTGGATATGAAAAGACTTCAAATGCATGGAGCAAGCTTTTTCATCAATATATCATGATCTTTCAAATATATTATGTTACATTATAAAGACAAAAAAAAAAACTTTAAGTCAAAGAAAATTACCTAGCAAACAAATAAAAAAATAAATTATTTTCCTCAAGAACAATATATTGCATAAGAACTAGAAAAGCCTTGTCCATGCCTAACCAACAAGATCCAGTATTCTTCTTCATATGGTATAAATATCCTAAATCTTAAAATATTTACATACATTAATTATCAGAGGATATATCTATATATTAACGGATCTCTAAGCATCCACATCGCCCAACTACCATAGGTTTATGTTAAAAATTAGGCTAAATCACACACCATCCTAAATGGACTAGTGCTCTAATTAACAACATTGAGCCAAATCCTGCTGCCTCAAACTCTCTTTCAACCTGGTTAAGGCTTGCTTAAAAAATTATGGTAGCCCACACAAAACTCCAACTTAATTTTCGGCTTATTAGGAAATTTATGGAAACTATCAAGAAATGCTTCAGGTCTAAGTCATCCTCCCTAACACTACAATAACTGCAATTTAATCGGAATAAACCAATAAAGAAACTAGGGGATCTAAATAAGATTTATTCTCTAACCCTGAACCAAATTGCCTAAGCCATATACAGCTAAATTGCATCTACACCCTTTAGCAAAGGTTCCCTTCATATGGAAGGTATAATTAATAATCTACGCTTGTGCCTGATAAAGAAGGGAAAAAAACTAGCCTAATAAAGTCCTATAATAAGGGTAACAGTAAAAAAGAAAGGAATATTCTTTACTATTTTAGCATCCAAATATGATGATTAAGCTTTGGACACCACAATAATAAACTAGTAAGGTTTTGAAATTGGGACAAGGAAAACCTTCTTCTGGTTAAACTATTTAAGCCAAAAAAAGGGTCCGTCTTCAAGGATCTCAGGTTGCTTAAATATTGAAGAGCACAAATCATACAGACAATTCACATATATGAGGGCCTTATGTTGCATAAAAATAATAATTAATGTTGTTAAAACTAAAGTCATAACTTCTAAAAATCATATATCAAGGCATGAAATGAAATCTAATTTGTGCTATTCAAAACTATAATGCAAACATAAGCTTTCATATTTCTCAAAAAACTCCAACAAACAAATATTTACAACAAAATTTGAAAGAAAATGTCAGCTTAAGCAAATTGCAACAGAAGCAAGTTGCAAGACAATGATGTTAGAATAAAAGATGAAAAAAAATTTACCTTTTGGTCTAATATTAAAACAACTAAAAGAAGAATAGGGGGGCAGATGTCGCCAAAATTTAGAAATATTTCATGATGCTAAAAATGATAAAAGAAAAGCACCTATATTTTCACGTCACGTACATGCAACTTGCAACTATTGGAAGAATAAGTCAAGTATTGATCGAACTGAGAGTCTAATTATTGAATATCAATTCTATGCTACTAAAATAATAATTGGTAGAAAATTATAATAGCAAGATTCTGTTTGATTGCATTTAGGAAACTGTTTGCATTCTAAGAATTCAACGAAAGGGGTTCATAGGAACTTTAATTTCAATATTTGATGACATGTAAGTGTTTGATTATACACCTTCTAAAGCACTTTCAACTTCTCATGAGATTAGTATCATATACCAATAATTTGGAAACCCAAATCAATTGAAGCTCCTTTTTAGGCTAAGATTTAAAATCATTGAAGAGGAAGAAGAACATATTCAAATCACAAAAATACTAAAAATTCTACATTGGGTGGATGATTGTTGTGACTGGGAATATCTGAGTAGAATATTACAAAAATAAATAAGGGTAAAGAATAGTCCTATAGTAAAATGATAAAACATATTTAGATGGTATACAAGAAGACTATATGAAATCATGTCAACAGTTATAAAACACTGCTCTTGACCAAATGAACAGAAATGAAAAATGAACGAATACTGACTGGCAATTGACAAAAGATGCAATTTCAACAAGTGTTTAATGCATTATTAAGGTGAAAATGATACATATTAGTTATTTAGTGTAAGAAATTTACCTATATATAAGTCCTGACATGGAAGGACAAAATGCAATGTGTGCTTAACTAGATGGCCAAATAGATCAAAGTAAAGATGCAGTCATAATTATACAGCACAAACTAGCTAACTAATAGAATCATCTTCTTTCCAACCAACACATGCTAGTTTCCATTGTTCCATCACATCTTCCAACATATCAAAACATTAAAACTACAAAATAATTTTACCTCCAACATTTTTATTAACTGGAGATATGTTATAGCATTAGTAATATTGTGTAGATACTCAATTCAGGAAAAACAAAAGTAGGCTTACCATGTTTCGGAGAAGCATGACGCGTGTTGGTGGACCATTCAGGTTCACACTCTTCATCTTTTTCTCAGCCTTGGTCTCACTGGCATTCACAATCACACCAGCCCGTCTGTCCGTCTTCTTTGCCATGAGAGGTGTGGTAATCCCTTGTTCCAGCTTACCAAGACCCTGCCCTTCCTTCCACCCCATCTTTGCCATCATCCGCTGTGCGGCTGTCATCTGACCTCCAGCACCCACACCAAGCCCAGCAGACCCTGACTTCCCAATAGTAAAGCCTTCTCCGCTGGGCGGTGGTGAAGGCGATCTTGGCACCGCACCACCACTCATAGCAGCTCGCCTCTTCCATGCTTCCTCACCTGATATGCTCAACTTAGACTGATAATCCTTCTCTTCCCGCTCTGCAGCCTCACGTTCCCGCTGCTCCCTCTCTCGCTCCCTCTCTTCCTCCTCCCTTCTTCGCCTCTCAACCTCCTTCTTTCTCTCAGCCTCTGCTGCCCGCCTCTTCTTTTCTCTACGATACTCTTCGTAATCATTGGGCCTTGCAGGATCATACTCATCAACCACAGTTGATGTCACCCCGACTAGGGCAGGTTGAAAGGACGAGATTTTCGTGTCACTATCCGGTAGGGATGAGGGGGCGGTGGAAGCAGAGCTCTTTGATTGGGCAGGTAGTGGGTTTTTGGGTTTGGTTTGTGATTGTTGGTTCTTCAGCACGGAGTGCGGGGAAGGGAGAAGGGAAGGGGTTTTCCTGAGGGTAGGTGGAGCCATTTTGGCGCTGCTCGACCATACTGAGTTGCTACTTTTCTCCTCCTCTGCTGCATTCTTCGATGATGGGGGAGGGAGGTCTCCGTACAAGCCCCCCAGCATTATTTGTTGCAGTTCGATTTTAAAAAAAAAATATTGTCTTTTTGGTAACCTGAAAGAATTCTTGCTTCTGAAAAATTGATGACCTCTTCTGCTATTCGGAAAGTAAGGAAAATTTGAATTGAGAGGGGCTCGATGAGAAAGGATGCTGACCTCAGGCCGTCGGCCACAAGCGGCCGCAGGGAAGGAAGAAACCCTAGTTTTAGGGCTCTCACAATCGAATCGCTCAGCTATGAGCTATCTTCGGTAGACGAAGGCCGCACAGATGATCATTTAGAAAAATTAAATCGCATTAAAAAATTAGTTTAATTAATATTAATACTATTTTTAATAATTAAATTATTATGTTTAAATGTGCCATAATTAAATTATTAAATTTTTGATAAAAGTATAAATAGTTAAATACATTTTCAAAATTTTCTCATATATGAGTAGGAGGTTAACTCTTACTAAGTGGAGAAATTATTACGTGTGATCATCGGATGACATCCGAAGGCGAATCAGAACACACCACATCATCATTTTGTTGTGTACTGCAACTGTGTATTGGGTGACGTGACGCATCCTGATTCGCCTCTGAACGGTATGATGATCAAAGCAATAATCTATCCACTAATTGAAGGAGACCAACTCAATTTTCCTTGTAACTCTACTTCTACTTATAACTCCCTTTAACCTCTCACACTTCTATAAAGCATATGTGGTAGGGGTGTCAATTCGGGTCAACCCGTCGGGTTCGCAGGCGGGCAGCGGGCAGCGCGGCAGGGGCAGCGGGCAGCAGCGGGATTGAGCGGGAAATTCATTTTTTTAAATTAAATGGGTTTTCGGGTTGACCCGGCAACCCGCCGGGTCAACCCGACCCGACCCGTTTTATTAAACGGGTTGAATCTGTAAATCCGGACCCGACCCGTTTATCAAACGGGTCGGGTCCAACCCGGATTTTCCAGGTCGGGTCCGGGTCGGGTTGTCGTGTCGTGTCAAATATTGACACCCCTAATATGTGGTCAAAAATAACCTCCCACATGTATACATGACAAATGGGGTCGGGATCAAAAGCAATACATAACAGAAATTTGAGCCCGTATGATAGAACTTGTAATGTACTTTAACATCTCTCACATAAAAACTTTCATCATCTGAACATGAATGCATATAACAAAAGTAACATAAATACATGATATTGAATTAGAACACATTACACTTCAGGAGATGATGCGTGTATAATTTTCATACACATTTGACATTTAAAAAAAATCATTTATAAGATAGCTTTAAAATATCATTTTATTTTTTTTATGAATTAAAACCAATATGAAAATGATATTTTAACATAAAATATTAATAAATTTGTATAGATAAAACCAACGGGTGAAATATCAACTTCATACAATTAAATGACAAGAAAAATATATTATACATTGTACCAAAAATTACAAGGTGAAAAGATTATTATACTCAAAAATATATTTTACTCCATAATTTTTTATAGAAATGTCAAAATTGAAATTAGAGATAAGGTATTAGGAGCCTACTGCCACACCCCGGGATCTAAAGTGAAAGAATTTGATCTCTATTTCATTTATTCATTTTTCTTTTTTTTTTCAATTAACAGTCGATATTCATTCATTTTCAATTATATCATTTGATAACCAAAGCTAATTATTTGCTTTGAAGAAAATAAGTAAATAACAAGAAAAATATAATTACATTTATACTATCAATATTTATATCTTGCTTCAAAAATCAAAGTTCAAAAAGCATATATCCAATAGCCACTAGCAGTTACGAAAGAATACAAATAAAATAGAGAAATTAAAATACCAATGCTGCTAAGCCTCAATTTGTCATATCTTTATCTTTACGTTAAATCATATAATATTGTGTAATGAATATAAATGCCTAACAAATAACTAAACTTATCATTGCCTTCAATTTAAGGCAAAATAATTAATATGTTTGCTCTAGTAATCTATAAAATTTGTATCAAGCAATAATCAAATTATAAGAAAAATATTGATAAAAAGGATTATCAATCAATGGGTCATATTAATATGTTAGGCAGTCTCAATGCATATTCTATCTAACTTCAATTCTATGTATCAATGTGTTTAATACATTATCATGTAAATATAATCATAAATATAATTATGAAGATCAAGATAAGACAAACAGCTTTAATGTGATGTTTTATCCTTTTATATATATATATATATATATATTATATATAATATTAGTATTAGATATATATATATTTATATATATATTAATATTATAATTATACTATATTATATATATATTATTATATATATATATATGGTCAATCTTTATTTTATATTTGATTATTTTTATTTAATTATCTAGTTTTAATAGTTAGTTTTTTATAATCATTTAAGAGTCATCATCCTCTACCCATCGGCATAATTTGATCAATTAGTTAAATGCTACAACTAGGATTATACCATCAACATTTTATTTAAAGAAAAGTTTGTTGGCCCACCCTCTTGGAAAGGGTATAATATTTTAAGTGTCAACCCATATTAATTATATTATTAATGACCATTCTTTCATGCTTACATGCAAATGCTATATTTTTTATGCAATATAAGTTAATATCATGTACAAAATATAATAATTTATAAAATATAGGGAGATGTATAAATTTGTCTATCATGTATTTACTTCAAAAAATCATAGCTTTTAATTTATCTAATAAAGTTCAATAATATTACAGTTAAAATACCAAAGATGATCATATATATCATACATAAAAGTTATACAATGAAAGTTCAATAAATCAGGATAAAATACATTTTGTGGTGTATTCGAGAGCGATAAAAAACAGAAATCAAAATCATCAAAAACATGATTAAGAATATGGTCACTTAAAATGAGCAGAATAATTTTTGGAATAGGAATGATGAACGAAAAAGGCTTGACGGACTTTCTCTCTCCTCTCTCTCCTCCTCTTCCTCTCCACTTCTTCTTTCCTTGCCTTCCCGACCAAAGCAAATTAGAGTGAGGAGAGGAAGTGGTTGTGGAAGGGATATTTTATGGAAAATATATTAAAATTTTTATTTTTAGTGCTTAGCACCCCGACGCTCCGACCCATCACTACAACATTGCATGTCATTATAAAGTTATTGTATAATAGAGCTTTTGATGTTGTGGTATAGTGATTTCTAGCATCGTTGTGCTATCCAACCTAGTGTAGCAACACTCATAAGCATAATGCTGCTGCACTCTAATTTAAAAATTACACTTACCTCGAGAAAAATGAATCTCCTAACTAGCCCATCAGACAAATCTCACACCACATCCTCCAAACTTCTTTGTCTTCTCTCTCTCCCTCTCTCTCTATAATAGCTCGTATTTTAAATTTGTCAATTTTTTCCTGGAGTTATTATAACTCCAAATCGTAATCTGTCTTCGACATAGTATTTTGATCGTAGTATTTTACTTACACGAATTTTTTTCGTAATTTTTGGACACCTATGAAAATCTTTAAGAAATTTATATCTATTGGTACAAGTGAGGATTTCGGGACCGTCAGGTGTCCCTTTTGCAAACCAAGTTTATCGATATTTTTTAAATAACTTGTTTTATTTTTTTGGATATTTTTATGTAGTTGTTTAAGTTCTAAAATGATTTATTTGAATGTTTTATTAAAAGAAATTGATTAAATTAAATATTATAATATTATATTATTATATTATTATTAAATATCTTAACCCATTAACTTAAATCCATTTAAAAGTTTCTTTTATTCCTATTCATTCGGTAACAGAGAAAATGAAAACGAATTAGAGAGAAAATAAGATAGAGAAATGAAAACTTGAGATTTGGAGGCCGCAATGCGATTTTTGTCCGTCTAGCCAATTGGGAGATTTGCTCGTCTCGCTGTAAGGAACTTTTATCCTATTTCTGATTTCAAAGATTTTATGTCTTTGATATTTTTCTGATCGAATTTGTATTTCAATTACCGAAAAATATGAATAACTTTACATTGACAAAACTTTCACCGTGTAACTTTTTGTATGTTATAGCGATCATGATTATGAGTATTTTGAGTATTTATTTGAGATTTTTCATTAGGTGATTTTAAAAATACAGTAATTTTTGTCTATCTTGAAATTTATTTTGACATCTAAAATTAGTTGTGTAGTACAATAAAAATCTTAAAATATTATTTTATACAATTCATATTATTTTAGTAATTTTCTAAAAATATATATTTCTACCTAATAGGATTCTTTATTGTCTACCATTATGTCATTTAGACATCTTCTTAATTAATCTTATTTATGCATATTTACTACAATGCATTGAACATGGATGTGAATATGTGCTTGAGTAATAGTTGATCGCTATTACTTTTATAATATTATGATAATAATATGCATGTGTGAAACAAGCAAGTAAAGACTGGTTGACCCGCTGGTTGGAGACTGATTGATCCGTACAGGATGGGAGGCCAACGAACTTTCCTTTAAATATTGTGGTTTGATGTTGTCCTCTATTAATTCATGTGATACATCCATTGGGAGTTATAAGAAGATTATTATTGTGTCGACGAGCAAAAAGTAACGACTCTATTTACTGAGCCAATAATTTACTAACACTGAAAAACACCGTGATAGCGAGGACTTCTTACTTGTTTAGTGTGACTACTAAAATGCATGCTCTTGAGGCATTATTTTTATTATTGTATAGATTTATTATTATTGCATAAATTTATTATTATTGCATTATTCTATTGCTCGTACTACTTAATTATTATTATTATTGATTTAGATACTTATACTATTTGATTCTACTGATTCACTATACTAATAGTAATCATGTGATATACAGGATTTATTGATCATGTGATTGAGATATGGTTTAATATTGAGATAGAATAATTGGATAGCATATGCATACTTTTATATGATTTTACTACATTGACATGATTTCAGCAATCTTTTGCGATGTTTTGATTCGATACTTTACCTGATTTTTATACTGATTGGTATTGCAGATACGAAGATTATTTTATAGATTTGACACTCATTCTAGTTTAATATGTTACTCGCTTTTATACTATAGTGTTTTACTATTTATAGATTATATTAATACTGTATATAAATTTTATTATTTTTGTACTAATTCAATGATCATATGTATGTAACTATTATGATTTAACTATTGACATACATATTGCTCTTTTATTGTGCTTTAAATTCAGTTGTAAGTTTTAGTGATATGATGGGCTTTTTAAACTCG